AGGTGGTGAGACTGGCTGAGGTTCAAACCTTACGACAGCAGCACACCACCAGTTGGGAGACGCTTTCATTTCGACAGAGGGATGATGGCAGTACTGTATGAAGTGTTGATTCTTCTGTAGTGCCTGGTGACATCTTCTAAATGCTTTGTGCTAATAGTTTGAATCACTTGTTCTCCTGCAGGAATGAAAATGAAACTACACTGACACAAAAGATTTTGCATTTCTAGAGGGAATCCCAGACTCACAGCACATTCTGGGCCAAGAAAATCATCTCACTTCTGCATCTGCTTGCCCTTGTCTGCTCAGAGGGCCACAACGGGATCAGGAGGAGTTGCCTACAGGCATCAGTGGCCATCCCAACGTGCATTCCCTGCATTCCAGCCAGGCCAGGCACGGAGCACAGTACCAGGTATGGTAGCTTCATCCTGCACAGTGTGCGAGTTCCCCTCAGGATGGATTTTTTTTCCAAACCTCTTTGCTGTCAGACCAACCTTTTCACTTGATATGAGGAAGCCAGAGCAGGAGCTAGAACAGCACATGTGGGTGTACAGAAGGGAGCTCCTCAGTGAATCACTCGCTCCTGTCCGTGAAAATCCCCCCTCATTGTCATTTACATAATCAATGCCTCTCGGCCCCAAGGTTCCTGAATTGCTTGAAAGATACTGAATGTAGTATCTCTCCTGCAACAATCAGACAACGCTAAAGAAAGCACAGCCATCTCTGGGGAAGAAGTAGCAGATGTTATAACGCTACAGGACACCAACAGCTAGGACCAGAATTACCAGGAAGGTGTACAAGCATTTGGCCATAAAAACGGTCTTAGCATCTCTACTCTTGCAAAAAGCATCTTAGAATTTGTAAGGGTCAGGAGGACTTTGTTTTTATTTCATCTGAAAGACGGTACCTCCCCCTAGCTCCATGCCGAGGAACTGGTTCAGTAATGGCTCTCCAAACATCTGCCACTTGGAGCTCCCCTGAAGCATTTGGGGACTTCTCCAGACCCCCCCATACCGTGTGGGGATATTTCCAGCCAACCCCCTCGAAACTTTTTATAGGAAAAAAGAATGAGAAACTAGATGAAAAGGTTTAGTGGAACATAGCAGGACAACAAGCCCTTGGATGCTACAAGTGAAAAGACACAAATGAGAAGGTGGGTCTCAAGTTCTCAGGATCTCTCCCCGTCCTTCAGCTTCTCTCTGCCCATCTACACACCCCTTCCCCAGATCACCCAGATCCTAAGCAAAAACAGAGCCTGAAAGTGATGGGATGGAAAGCAAAAGCACAGTTCAGAGAAAGCTGGAGTTCTCCAGCACCAAGAACGGCCCCCAGAAGCACAACCTGCTGCCTGGAAATCCTGCAGCACTGGAGACAAGTGTCCTTACCTTCAAGACTACTGAAAAGAGAGACCTTTTCAAAAATTCAAATTACAATTAAAAACCACTGATATTTAATTCAAAAAAAGTATCTTTCATTTCCACCCCAGACTTTACCAAGGGCTGTGTCCACACAGATTTGCCCTTACAATCAAGGACCACACGTTTGCATTCACATTACATCTTCCAGTGTCTCCAACCTCACCAAGCGACAAGAGCTTTCATAGTGCTTCTTATTCACTTCTCCTCCCCCTCTTTAGAAGCAGAAAAATAAAATATGTGAACATGAGTGCCGGCATACTGTATTTTCTAACAGCTGTAACACTGCCAATATTGCAAATCAGGGGCTCAGCTTGTGTGGAACCAGCCTTCGAAGCCTTGGCCTTCAGGAGCAGATGCAGCAATGAGGGGCTACCTGCAAGCTGATGAGGGCACAACCTGTACTGATTCACGCTCTCAGAGAAAAGCAGTAAAAGGGTGGAGAGCATCCACACCCTGTTCCCTCTGTACATCTTGAAGAACCCATATTCATCATCTAAATAAATTATCGTATCCCATGTAGAACCCAGGTTTTCCAGCTGGAAGCCCAGTCAGTCCTACACAGCACGTTGCTGTATGACCCAGCGGTACCAAGGGATACCCATATTCCTTGAATGTTTAGTTGCTGTCTTTTCCATATGATTGTCACCTGAATTTTCCACATGCCCTCTGGTTTAGGGACCAATTGTAGACTGATGACCTCCAGCCCGTGGTGGCATTCGCTAACAGAGGAGACAGACACAAAGGTGGGTTCACACGGCAGCAAGCAATGGCAGTGCATGGCTAGGTAGTGCTCATGGCTGGTGATGTTCCGGGGACGTAACCTGCAACCGAGGCCACAGCTGGAGGCAAATTCATGTCACAAGGTCGCCGCTGCAGACTTCTAGCTTTCTGTGAGAAGGAGATGCGTGGCTTAGCAAGGCTAGGAATTATTTCTGAGTGAAAAGCCTATGCCGAAACCCACAAGATGCACAGCGTTCTGCATTTCCCAGCAGACAACTTGCACCATGCTCTCATCGCAGCTGGCCCTGGCCCCGTGCAGGAGGCACAGGTGAACCCTGTGCTGTCAGACACCAGGTTTCCCTCTGCCACGCTTGCAGCAATGGGAACGGACAGACCAGGAACAGCAAGAGCTCCCGGAGGTTTGAAGGCAGAAGGCCCAGCACGTCAGCAGGGCATGCCATTCCCCGCAGGGCATCGCTGCCCGCCCACAAAACCTCCTCAAAGGTCACGTCTCCCTGCGATGGATGGCGACAGTTAAATTCATTCCACGGGAAGAGCCGGGTGGTGATGCATGAAACTGTGCCTCGGGTTGTGCTGGCAGGACACAATTGGGACAAGAGCTGCAAGCAAAGTACAGTCTGCTCTGGGGAGCAGAGGGATACATGCCACCACTGAGAGCTACCAGCTGGGCAAAGGAGGTAGCAAAGAGGGTCTGCAAAGGAGAAGCGAGAAGAATCTGCCACCGTAGCACTTCCAGGTCCTGCCAGCCCAGGGAGAAATAAGAGCCAAGATGATGAGAAGATGAGAGGATGCTGTGGCATCCCTTGGGGCAGGGCATTATCCATGCAGGAGCCAGGCTGCTCCAGGAGACTCTCCTACTTGGGTAATCTCTGTTTTTTCCCAGCACTGTGGACCAGGAGGATCTGCAGTCCTTCCCTCCTGAGCCTGGTCTTCTCATGGTGTCGCAGCTCTGACAGCTTGAGAAACAGTAACTCGTGGGAACAAAATGAGGTTCCTAGGCCTGGTTTTGTTCCAGGGGTTTTTTTGGTGAAATCTGGGACATTTTTCACCCTTTTCAGGCCTTCTCGCCATCCCTCCCAGGAACAGCTAAGGGCAATGTGGGCATCTCGCACAGGTGGGAATGGCAGACTTCAGCTCAAAGGACATGGAGCTGGGTGCGCCTGGGCACAGCTCCCATCCCAAGGCCAGTCTGCCCAGTGAGTGTCTATCACGCTCTCTCTGACAGTCTGCTCGGAAACCTTCTGGACAAAAACCTTTCCAGGTCAGAGAGATTTCAAGAAACAAATGTTTTCCAAAGGGGTTAAAAAAAAAAAATCCTAGTAAACTTTTTCAACAATTTAACTTCAGGGGTTTTTTTGGCTTATTTCCAAGAGACACCACTAATTTAAATTCACAGGACTCGGCAAGGCATCCCGCCGCTCTCTGGAAGGCATGACGCGTATTCCTATATTCTCCATTTCTCTTTCCACCAACAGACCTCACTGCATATCCTCCCTCTTCCTTACATGCTCTGCCTTATTAATAGCATTGCCTGCTGTCCCCACTCCAGCTCACCAAGGCCACCTTGAGATGGCAAGGGGCTCTCCCAGCCGGTGGGGCTGGGGAGTCCCGAGTGCTCTCCATCGTCTTCCCAGAGCTGGTCCACAACACACGAACATGTGCGTCTGCACATACCAGCAATGCCTCATGCCCAGAGAATATCCACCCAGGAGTACCTCCGAGGGTCTCTGCTTATGTCATGCTTGGTCTTAAATGACTCAGTGGACCAGATTTGTCTTGCCTAACTTTAGGTACTTGGCTAAATAAGGGGATGTGGCTCCTTAGACAGTTGGTGGTGAGGACACAGGAATCAAACACAGAGAGACACAGCCCCAACAGCCTTCGTTCCCTCTGATGCACACACACATCCCTTCTCCTCATCCTCTGCTCCATTTATAAAGGAAAAGAAACATCCCTCCAGCAAAGTCAGGAGCTATGTTGTGGTTTTAATTTCACTACAGGCTTTTTATAGCTTCCAGTGAAAAAAAAGCCCTGTAAGGTGAGAAGGTCGGGGTAATGTGACCGGCGTGCTCAGCGCTGCCTGGGCCAGAGGCAAACGCTGCTGAGAGCAACCAAGCGTCGAAATGCAAACCTGCCATCAGCAAACCAGGTTGGCCCCGAGCTGTTCCCTGTGCGATGCAGAGCCCAGCGACTTGGGGGAAAGGAGCTTCGGTTCTCCTGCTCTATTCCAGTTGATGTGTCAGCCTGGCTCAGCTGATGAGTGCAATTACATAAGGAGCCCTGATGACTTATCGTGACGCTGGGCTGGTGTTCAGTAACTTCAGGATCATGGACTCGAGTGGCTGCTCACAAGTATCAGCGCAGGACACGGGGTCTCGTCCTTCATCCTAACACTGCAGAGCACTTTGAAGGAGCTGTTGGCTCCGCGGGTCTTTACATTGGATCGCAGAGAGCATATTTGCGCTTAAGTCAATATGAAACTAAGTGTTTGGGAAAGCAAAGAATTCAGACCCCAGGTTCTATTCCCCTTGAGATGAGGAAACTTTGGGGAAAAAAAAAAGCCTGGGGAAAAAAAAAAATATCCAAATTGGTTGCAATCTGAAAGCAAAACTGTGGAGGTATGAGGTCAAAGCCCAAAGTAAGAAACAAAGTGAATGGACCCCCTTGAACATCAGAATTGCTGCTCGGGAGGGGAGCAGCGGGGAGGCTGCGGGCGGGGGGGGGGGGGGGGCTGCGGTCGGGGGCTGTGGGGCTGGCAGGGCAGTACCACGACACCTGCCCGCACTACGCCTGCACAGCCCGCCCGGGCTCTCCCACCCTCTCGTTCTTTCCCAAAATGCTCATTTACAAATTCTGCAGCCCAGACTGCCCTTGCTGCCCCAGCAACGAGCACTTCAGGAAGTCTAAAAGGGCAACAGGAAAAACAGCAAAGGCTGCGCAGAGCCGCGCGCCGACAGCACCGCCCGGCAGCTTGCTCACTCGCCCTCCTGGATGTTTATGGAGCATCATGAAATCCTATATAACCCGATGGGGCTTTGCTGGTTTCTGAAACGTTTGCGTTGTAACAGAGCCTCATTCATCAAACATGTTGGTAATGAATTTTCCACTGAGCAAAACCAGGGATGCTCGCGGGGACAGCTCCTGAAACAGTCTGTGTTTGGATCCAACCACTGGCCAAAACTGGGTTCCTTGTTTCAGATCAGATTTAAAAAAAAACAAACCCACAACATCCAAGTGGGGCATTCATCCTCAGCTTCAACCCCTTCCAAAGACAATTCATTTTTACCTGTCTCAGAGTGGAGAGACCCACTCTCCCTCTCTGCGGAGCCACTCAAGACTTACAGATAGCCAAAGGAAAGGAAAAAAGTCACCCCACCAGTGACAGAAGAACCTCAGACCCACTTCCAGAAGGGATTTAGGCACTAAGGAGCTTGCTTTTTCAGATTTAGACACACATTTTTCTTTCAAATTAATACAAAGTAAGAGTCCAGAGTGTTTGGTGCAGAAATCTCTTCACCAAAGCAGGACCTCAGCCAGGGCAAGGACAGAAGAGACACTTGGTAAGTCCGTGCCATTTGCCCCTTTTCCTCCTCTGCTCATAGCCCGCTCCCCAGCCCACTGCCGAGATCAAACCCTGCCATTTGGCACGGCAGGAAAACCAATCCCCCATCGCACAAACCATATTTCATAAGGAGATTGCATTTCAGAGAGAAAACCGCCGGCATTCGGCTCCGTGACCCTACGGTGAATGAACCGTGTGGGCTGGGTGCTCGTAGAGCCCCGTCCAGCCCAGCAGAGATGGATGCGTCCTCGCGTCCTCACCGCTGCTCCCCACGCGCAGGCAGCTCGGTGGGACTTGCAAATATTTTGTGTTCAAGAAAAGCGAGCGCTTGCCAGGAGTTCTCATGAAGGCTACGGCAAGCTGGGATCGGATCCCAGTTCTCGGTCCAAAATATCCCTTAACATTAATGCTCAAGGCATGCTGCAAAAAGCCCACAGTTATCTGTTGGGCAGGGACTGACTCCCTGGGAGTGTTTTCCTGCACATTTTAGCCTCTGTATGATCAGAGTTACGTTGCTCTATGCTTTACCCCGCCTCTCAATGCAATGCCTGTTACATCTTTTAGGGCAAGCTGCACATAGATGTTTAATGACTGCTTTTTCTAAAGGCCTAGATTATGTCCTTGCAAGCTTTCCTCAGCTGGGAGTCACCCTTTTAGACCTCAGATGCAAAAAAAAAAAAAAATAAAATCGAAGAGGCAAAAGTGAAAGAGAAGGGAGGAAAGGCAGAGAGCTGGAGCCTGAAAGACCCAGGAGACACCAACAACTTTACAAACCACCCAACTCTAGCAAAGTTTCTGCAAGTACATAGGTGCCGTGCCCGCACAGCAGCAGGGTGGGTATCGCTGTTGAGGGTACCCACACCCTCGCCAACATCAACGGGAAACCCCTGGTTTGCCACAAAGAAAAGGAGCAGGCGATGCAACTCCATCCAAGATGACCTCAGTCAAATTATAAAAGAAGCCGCACTCAGCGTGACCCCAGCTTGTCACCAGCCACAAGACCTGAGGTGCAACCCCACCGAGAGCAATGTTAGAATAGATGCAGTGGGTTTTGGCTGGGAGCTTGCAGAGGGTCCTTCTGCCTGGGGGGAGGCACCCATAGCCCCCGGGAAACCTCTGGCCCCCGGAAAAGCTGCGTCAGCCCTGGGCAACGGTGCACCGAAGGGATGGGGAGGGAAGGCGCAGTGGCTCGCCTGGTATTTGGGCAATGTAGCCATTAGTCTTGGAGGACTGCGCTGCTACAGGGAGGAGGAGGAAGAGTTTTCCAGGGAAAAACTGCTTATTCATCACCAGAACTCATTTGGAAATTGTCCAAAACCCAGCTGTTTGAAGAAGTGAAACTTCTCCTCAGTACGTCCCTCTTCTGACATAACTTTGAAGAAAGGTTTCTCCTCCCTGCAGGAGGTGGGATGAAGGGCAGAAGATCACCGTGGGACTGTCCCTCCCAGGCAGGGCTCCCTCTCTACTTCTTGGCTCTGCTTCTTCATCAGAAAACTTGTACCAGCCTCAGCCTGTCCTGCTGCAGGAAAAGAAACTGAGATACCGGGAAATGCAGTAGTTGGGAAAAGTCTCTTCTTATGCAGCCCTGGTCCCTGTCCTGGGGAGCGCAGCACAGCACATGGGGCGTCTTAGCACTCAAAAAACGGTCACCGAATTGCTCCCAGGAGTGCCACCAGCACCCGCAGAGCTGTGGGAGCACGAGCACAGGCTTGGGCAAACCTCAGGGTGGTGGGATGGAGGGGTCTGTATGAAAAGAAAAAAGAGTGAAAGACGGGCTGGGAGAGCAACAGGAAACTGCAGGAGAGACAAGAACTCGGGGACGTGGCCAGGTAGGAGAGGGACCGCGGCACAGGGGCTGGCCTGGAGAGCCCATTGCTCCTGCCTGTGGCAATATGGGCACGTGTGGGGAAAACAGAGGCTTACGGGAGGAGTTGAGCTATTGCAATGAATTTGCTACCAGCTTTATATATCACAAACCTTTACAGGTACTGCTCTGACAGGATATAAGGTCTCATCCCCTGATGCTCCTCACATGCCAACCCTCACAACTTGCATTGCACTAACGAGCAGCGTTGCTCAAAGGAAAAAGCAGGCAGAGGGTATCGTGACAGCCCCCACTTCACACCACCCATCTTGGCGAGGCTGGATCCGGCAGTCCGGGAGCCCCATCCTGCCGCCGGGTCAGCTACAGCCTCTGCAGGACAGGGGCTTCTCTCCACACCTCTGGGAAAAAAAGTCCCCACAGCTACAAACACAGTGTAAATGCTGGCGGATGAATAGATAGGAGAGGCTCCGAGAGCTGCTGTGACCATCAGAAATGAGCGTTTCCCGTACGCATTAACTTGGTGCCTCTTGGGGCACCGAAAGGAAACTTTGCATAGCTCCTGCCAGGTGTCTGTTTGCTAGCACAGCCTGCACATCTTGAGCTTTAAGACAGATCGAATAAAATGAGCTTCTTTTTGGGCAGAAAAGTAAGAAAAGATAATTAAAAATTCAATATAGACATCTTAAATTCCACCTATTGCCTGGCCCCTTGTTGATCCCAGGCACACAGGCAGAAGCTGACCACTGGCCTGGGGCTTAGTCCCGCACCAACCTCCACCACACCGGTCGCTACCCAGATCCCTCCAGTACGTGAGGCCATGAAAGCCCAATGCTGTGAGTGCCTCCTCCAGTCCCTGTGTTTGTAAGTCTCGGGCTCCGAAAAGCTGAGCTCCAAGTGCAGGAGCTCACCCTCCTGCCCAGCCCTCACCTGCTGCTGCTCTGAGCCCCGAGAGATGCTGGTAGCCTTGAGAAATCAAGGGATTTCTCTTGTGAAAACATGGTTTGTCTCTGCTCTTTCACCTTTTATTAGATACCCCTCAGGCCTCATTATCTCTTTGCCTTCTTTAACAAGGTTAATTTATGCCAGCCTAAGACCAGGGAGCAACCAAGTCGCTTGCATGAGCCAAATGCAGTCAAGCAAGGGTTAAACACAGTTTTTCCTATTCTGTCCTGTCCTTAACCACAGGCTCTGGTTCTTCCTCCACCCACCTCTGGTCTTCTCTCAGTTTCACAAGGCTACGGCTGGGGTTTGCTGACCATACAGCCAACATCTCAACAGCGTGAACATACAGCAACCTTGATGTCCCCAGCCTGGGACATCTCTAGTTCTCCATGCGAACCAACCAAGCAGACCCCAGCCCATCCCGTGGGGCTGGGGGAGCTCAGCCTTAACATGAGCCAGGCTGCAGGGTCAGGCCCAAGGGGGTTTGACACCAAAGCAAACACATTAACCACAACCCCCTTGCTCCAGCCTCTATCGCAGGATGCTTTTTATCCCAGAGAAAGTCCATGGCATGAATCCATCAGCTGCAGTGCAAACCGAGAGCCTGGAACAAAGCCAGGGAAGCCATAATTTTTACCTTCTGTTTGAGAATAATTGATCTGCCTCATTTGCAGTGCTGGAAGCAAAGAGTCTGGCCAAATTTTGAAGTGAAGTTCACTTCTGCGTGAAGACTCACTCTCCATCTCCTTCAAATCCCACCTCCCAATCCCTGGGCTGGAGAAACTGCTGCCGTGTCTGCCTGCCAGCTCTGCCCGCTCAGCCCCAGGCCAGCCTGCCCGCAGACGGCAAAGCGGGAAGATGGATTGGGAGCTGACGGGTCCTCAGCAGCTTGGTCAACGGAGCTGTTTAAGGTTAAAGTCAGCACGAAGGCAAGTGAGACCTAGAGCTGTTCTTGCATGGCCAAGGGGAACGTGACCGCACCACGAATGTCACGAGAAGAGTAACGGCCATCTGTGGTGATGAGTATCCCACTGAGCTTTGGTTTTAATTAAAACTGTTTTGTTTTTCCCCAATAAAACAGATATTTAGGTCAAAAATTACATTTTTTTGGATGTTATGTTGTTGTACCAATACCACTCCGAATGCCCTAGAAATGAGGAGTTGGAAGTGATACCCAAGATGTCTCAGGCTTTGGGGTACCTCATGGTTTCACCTCAAGTCCTCAGCTGATGGCCCTTCCCTCAGTTTGGGCCTGACAATTTTCCCAGGAGGCACCAAACTGCTGCTGACATCCCAGCAAAGGCTCTTGCACCAGGGACAGGCCAAATGCCACCGACTTCCACAAAGCCCTGGTTCGTCTCAGCCCAGCTACACTCACACCAGATGAAGGAACTGACTCTGTTACAGGGGAAGGAACAGACTCTGGTTCCCTTCATCACAAAACATCTTTCACAGGTGGAAATCAGTTTTAAAAGACAGGAGAAGGCATGGATCTTCACCCACTCTACTGCATCATTATGGAGAAAAGCAGAGTTGCATGGCTGCAAGCACCAAACTCACGATGAAATCTCCGT